GAAAACGAGCACGTCCAAGGAGACGGGGCCACCACAGGAACCTGGGACTTGCCGGGTTCTTATCGCCAAGTTCAAAAATGGTGCAGAGATGAGCATCAAATTTACGGGATAGGGAGGAGGTAGAGGTGGGAGCTGGGGGACCCCTGGTAGTAAAGCCGCTGTGAGCTGGTTTTCCAGCTTCTGTGCACGCTCAGCCCTTAGCTGGCCTCATCTAAAGAGCTGTGTCTGGCTCCCAGGCTTCTATCCCCAGCCTCTGCCATGGCTCTACAACTATAAACAGACCTGCCGCCTAGAATTCCAGGCTTTGCTCCCCACCAGGGACCATTCCTGACGACGCTGCATCTCTCTGAAGCCCACCCTCCTCCAGCTGCTAATTAAACTCTTAAAAGCCAGGTCCTTCTTCAGGAACTTTCTTTTTCTGGGCTTCCACAAACAAATCCTACACCTCATGTGAGGGAGGTTATGAGTTAGGGCCCGGCATCCTTGTGGCTTGGAGCACAGTTAATTCCTAGAGCTACTTCTGAGGAAGTCCTGAGGGCAGGGAGCAGACTCTGCTGCTGGGAGAGGAAATTGCGGGCATGGGCTGGGGCACTGTCGAGAATGGAAGAGGCCCCAGACCTACAGCATCCACCATTTCCTCCTGCAAAACAAAGTTCCTGACCCCAGGATGAGGAATTATGGGAGTCAAGTTATTCTTAAGAAAGGAGAGAACATGCCGAAGATCAGGTACTAATTGGCCCTGTGGGGAAACAACCTCAGAATCATTAACCCAGAGCTCCTGAGAAGATAGGGGCCTACAGGGAGACGAATTAATGGTTTACTCTTGACCAGCTTTTCCCTTGACGCAAGGTAGGGAAATTACAAAAAGATCACATCACATTCCTTTAATCTTATGGTTTCTCACAGCAGGTAAGACTAGGCGAGCTCTAGTCCGGAAGAAGAACACGCAGTAAAGACGTTTGCACAGCACTTAGCCGTCCACAGAGCTCTGTAGGGGACGTGCTGTCTCTGAGCCTCACACCTCTCCATTTTGCAGATCAGGAAGCCACAGCTCAGAGCATTTAAAGGACTTTCTCAAAGTGGGAGGTGACAGGTAGACAGGGGGCAACTCCAGTGCATCACCCTGTGAGCCGCACCCAGTGTGGGCCAGCCCTGGGTCCCCACACGTAGGCACAGAGCCAGTGGAAGGGACAGGGCAGGCGTGTGAGTAGTCATTACAGCTCCGAGGGACAGACAGGATGAGAGATGCGTGTTTGGGAACAGGATCTGTTCAGAAGAGGGATTCTGGGGCGTGGGAGGGAGCCGTGGGTCAGG